GGCTCCTTCAGGGATGTGCATTTCGCAGGTCGAGCAGGCTCGGGAGGGAGCCCTTGCATTTCCGGTGTGGCTCACTCTTTCTGCTGCCTCATCACAGCCACTTGTCTTTTGTCTGCCTGGCATGCTTTTGGATTTGCCCTTCTGAAAATACTGTGACTCTCAATGCTTTCAGGGCTTATGTCCTTTGATTGTTAGAGGACTTGTCATTATTTTCTTTCTTGAAATCCTTTAGTTTTCCATGATCCTGTGTTTTTTGGATTCTACTTCTTCACAATTTTTTTCTCCTACTACTCTTAAATAATGGCCTTCCCCAAGGTTTTATCTTTGAAATGTTTTTTTCTTTATTGTTCTTCATCTCATGATTTCAGCAGTCACTTCTAAAGTGATCTCTTTTAACTTTATATCTCAGTTGTGACATTTATTCTAAGCTTCAGACCTGTATTTGCAGCTGTCTGCAGATCAGCTCAGTATGTTAGCACCTCAACCTTCACATTATTTACCCTTAGTTCGTTGAGAGTCTCACACCCAGTGTTTCCCTTTGTCTTAGTGGAACTCTTTGCCACCCGTGCTCAATCTGCACACTGTATCTGATTCCTCATCTTCTCTGATCAGTTGGAGAGGAGTCCTGTTGACTTCATCTCCATAATGTATCATGAATGTTTTTAGCATCTTCCTTTTTTCTTTTTTGTGGTACTGGGGATTGAACCCAGGGCCTTTACACTGAGCTGTAGCCCCAGACCTTAGTTTATTTTGAAACAGCACCTTGATGAATTGCTAATTTGCCCAGGCTTAGTTCGAACTTGTGATACTCCTGCCTCAGCCTCCCAGATTGCTGGGATTACAGGTGTGCCCACCATGCTCTTGCTCATCATTTCCTTTCTAATTCCTTATCACCACCCAAGTTTAAATCCTGGTGTTAGATTTCACTGTGAATACCACAGAGGCCTCCTAGCTACCTGCCTATCAATCTACCCCGGGATCTTCTGTGTCACTTATATCTCAGTAGTCACAGCACTTTACTCAAAGCAAGCTGAATGTACTCCTGGTGGCATGCAGGTGAATTTTTAGATACTTTTATGGAAAAGATTTATTTGGATAACCTATAGTAATAAGTAACTTTTCCTCTTAGTGACAGTGCTTTGCTCATTCTTTCTTTCTTTTTGAACTGTGGTTCAGAAGCTGCAGTAAATCTTTGCCTTAGTTCATACAGAAAACTTGCTTTGTTTCTGTAAGGCCCTCAGTTGATTTATCTCTTCTTTCCCTTGGCCATCTACTCCCGTTTTCCTCCCCCTTTGCCACAGGAAACCACTCTAATTTGTTTGTTGTGTTCTTCTTCAATGAATGCATTCTTACATCATGTTGGTGTGGGTGGTTGTGTGTTACAGGATATAAGTAGGTTTTGCTACAAATACTTTTACCTTTTCTCACCATTTTCTCTCCGCACTACAAACATCTGTACGTATTACGCTTACTCATTGCTTCTGATGTTATGTCCCAAATGTATGGCATTGCATTTTTACTGTTTTGAAGGGTGGCATACTCTGTTTAGAAGCACCGATGGTGGAGCTGGATTACTTCAGTTTGAATCCTGATTTCCCCGTATCTTAGTTTTGGTTCTTTGGAGAGGGAAGGCTGAGAAAAGAACATAGGCAGCAGAGGGAGAGAATGGGAACAGTGAGAGTAAAGAGAAGAGAGGAAAGTTCCATCGCTTGTGTGCTGAGGCACTAGGCTTTGGTTCCCTGGGATCCCTGTGTTGTCCCACCAAGCAGTTGTCCCTAACTGTCATGTACTATTCACTGAGGTCCTGCTGAACTTCAGCATGAGTGCTTCTGTAGCTGTGCCTCCAGATGCCGAATTGTCTTCTTCAGTTTTGGAAACATATCTAGTTAGAAAAATCAAGCCATGCCTCAACCCTCTCTGGACATCAGGTGGTTAGATAGTATGTAGGACCACCTAGCAGAGCTGCAGGGAGATGTGTCTGCTAGAATCTCTGCCACTGGTCCCTCAGACCTCTCGTGTCTTGTTAAACACACTACTGCTGACCCTTTGGAACTGAGGTTCTTGGAATCACGAAAAGCAGTTCCTGAAACAGAAGGGTCAGTGAGGGTAGGCTGCAGCCCCCGCTCTTGCCACAGCACTGAGGCTGACTGATGCCTTGGGAGACTGGGAGGTGCTCTGTCACCTTCAGATGGGGGTTCAGGCGAGAAGGTAGACCTGGCATGGAGTAAGCACCTTTCTGCACCCTCCCTTGTTAGTTGGCTCACAGCAGCAGTGGTGATGGAGTCCGTCTTCAAAGGAGGGCTCCTGTGCTGTGAAGCCTTCCTTTGTCTGACTGACGGTCTCATTCACTGACCTGTGGCTCCAGCTTGAAGAGACCAAGAGCAGAAGCTGGTTGACAGCCACTGATGACGAGTCCTCATCAGAAGTTGGGTTATAGTTAAATGCCTCTTTTTTGCCTGGTACTTAGTGGTGCTGGTACTTTATGCTGATCCCCATAGGGCCATTAGCCTGCCCTTTAATTTTGGCTTGGCTTCTCTTTTATTTTTTTTTTAGCAAAACATTTATTGGTACATTTTAGATATACATAATGATAACACTCATCACAGGGAATTTGCACCTGTACATGATATATCCTGCCTCTTCTTTTTTTCTCATCCCCTCCTTATGAGTCCCTCCCCTCCCTAAATACAAAAGCTTTACTTCTGTTTTTTCCTTGTATTTTTACTTTTTTCTTGTCCTTTCCCTCCTTTTCCCCTTCCCATTCCCTTGTTCCTCTTCCCATTTGAACATTTTCTTCCCATTTCCCAATACCTGTTATACATTTTAGTCCATTTCCACTTTTGGTTTCTCTCCATTTAGCTAGAAATGTCTCAAGCTCATTCTTCTTTATGGCAGAGTAATACTCTATTGTATTGAAAAAAACCCCACATCTTCTTTATCCATTTGTTGGTTGATAGGCATTTGGGCTGTTTCCAAGATTTAGCTGTTACAAACTATAGCATGTGCTTTAATTTTGAGAGAAGATTTTGCAAAGTTGCCCAGGCTGGGCTCGAATTTGTGATCATCCTGGCTCAGCCTCGAAAATTGCTGGGATTATAGGTGTGCACCACCACACCTCACTGAGCTACTTTTCTGCATCTATTGAGATGATCATGTTTTTTGTCCTTGGCTCTGTTAATATGGTATATTACATTTATTGATTTACATATGTTGAACCATCCCTGCATCCCTGTTATGAATCCTGCTGTGTATAATCTTCTTGATGATTTTCTGTATTCTGTTTGCCAGTATCTTAATGAGTATTTTTGCATCTGTAGTTCTCTTTTTTGGTTGGATCCTTATTTTGGTATCAGGGCAATGCTTCCAGGAATGAATGTGGGAGTGTTACTTCCCTTTCAATTTCATTAAAGAGTTTGAGAAGTAGTGGCATTAGGTTTTCTCTAAATTTCTTGTAGAATTCAACAGTGAATCTGTCCAGAGAGTGGGCTTTTCTTTGTTGGTAGGTTTTAAATTATATCTTCAATTTCATTGACTGATATTGATTTATTTAGAGTTTGTGTATTCTCTTGATTCAGTTTAGTAATTCATAGGTATCTAGGAATCTGTCCATTTCCCATCTTATTAGAATATAGTTTCTCAAAGTAGGTATTGATGATCTTCTGGATTTCTGCAGGATCTGTTGTGATTTCACTCTTTTCTTTCCTAATTGTATGGATTTGAGTCTTTTCTTGCCTTTCTTTGATAAGGTTGGCTAAGGGTTTGTCGATGTTATTTAATCTTTCAAAGAACCAACTCTTCGATTCATTGATTCTTTTTTTCTTTTTTTAAGTCTCCATTGCATAAATTTTCTTGAATCTTTAAAATGTCCTTCCTTGTATGAGCTTTGGGCATGACTTGATGTTCTTTTTGTAGAAGCTTGAGGTTCATTATTAGGTTATTTGAGCCTGCTCTGTTTTTTTGATGTGGGAGTTCACGACTATAAATTTCCCTCATAGCACAGCTTTCATTGAGTCCAAAAAGTTCCAATATGTTGTAGTGGCATTATTGTTTAATTGTACAAACTGTCTAATTTGTTTTTAATTTCATCTGTGACCCATTGGTTGTTCGAGATGGTGTTATTTAATTTCCATGTGTTTATGAAGTTCTTGTGGTTTCTTTTGCCATTGATTTCCAGTTTCATTGCACTATGGTCTGATAATATGTATTGGGATAATTACAGTTCCTTTGGATTTACTTAAGCATGTTCTATTGGCTAGTATGTGGTCTGTTTTGGAGAATGTCCCATGTGCAGCTGAGAAGAATGTGTACTCTGATGTTGTGAGGTGGAACACTCTATAGACATCTACTAAGTCCATTTGTTCAAAAGTTTGTTTCAGTTTTGATATTTCTTTGATTTTTTTGTTTAGTTGATCTATTTGTGACAGTGGGGGCACTAAGGTCCCCCATTACAGTTGTATTAGTGCTTATTTGATTTTTCATGCCCGTTGATACTTAT